GTATTCATGTTCAGCTCGCGGATATACGGGGCCTTGAGAGTGTAGATGCTTTTGCATAGCCATATGAGAGAGATCTTTTCCAACTCGATCCTGTGAAATCTTGTCGCAGCTAGCATTTGCCGGCATCGCGCTTAGCACGTCGTCTCGCACTTCGCCTTGCTAGAAACAAACAGCGATGATTTTCAACGCAGCAAGTCTGGAAATGGATTTCTTGAGCACCGATTGTTCAAACGTGGGAGGATGAGCTTCGTGAGATAGCATCTTCATCAGTGAAGCAATGATAATACCGCATGTTCATGTCTTAGCTGCCGTGCCAAAGAATCCCGAAGTCCAACTGCTTGTAGCCATTATCCAATGGAGCACGCGCCCAGATACAAGCTCGCTTTGTCTCCAACAAATGGTGCTCAAAGTAATCTACCTTTGGTGTGACATTCCAGGTGAGTTCCATCTGACTTCGTAAAGGGAAACCGACATGCAAGCTTCAAGAAAAAAGCCTTAAATTAATCATTGAAAACGGAAAGCCCGAAACCCTGACCTCCCCGAAACCTAGGCGAGTACAAAAGTATTATGGTCTGATAGTCAGATATTATCATAGCAATAGATTATAGCATTGTAGTGTTGTAGTTCTGTAGTACTACAGTAGTTTTGCTCATGGTATGATCCTAGCAGAATAGAAGTATTATTGTGGTACAGTAAGCAAGGGCCAACCTCTGCCCGCCCCAATCCGGTCCAGGTGGCACATCGCCACAGCATTGGCAGCTGTCGAAAGGCAGGTGTTTAGGGTTTGGGGTTTAGGGTCGCCTTTCAGGATGTGGTTGCGGGAGAGCCCTTTCTGGACTGCCAGCTTGTTGAAAAGTCTGGGCAATCCACTATCCAGGATCCAAACCGAAAGCTCTCCGTGAAAGCAAGGATGCATCCCAAGTCCCGCAAGTCGTATTCTCTTTCGATATGCAGCCTCACTCGCCATACCGCAGCAGGAGCCGCAAATCTACGGACCGAGCTTCAACAACCCTTCCCTACTATAGTATACTGCTTGACTACCATAGTACACCATACTATACACTACAGTGGAGGTTGCCGACGGGACCGAAACTCCTGCTAGCCTCGCTGTGCCGTGTGCGGCCACGGCCGTGGCCTCAGCCTGCATACGATTCTTCGTAGCTCCGGTAATTGATAGACTGCCAGCGCCTGATCGCAGATGGTTATTCGGTGTTATCTGGGATTGATAGTTGTTCACTGACGTTGGAAAGCCTGGCATTATCATGGCATCCGTCATCGTCGGAATCAAGCGTCATTTGGGCTCGTTGGAGGCAGTCAAGCAATCTGCCAGCCGAGCAATCCTTATGGGCAGGTGTCTGGTGAGACAGCTTGGACCAGCCGGCAGGATCTGATGATTCCCCAGGCTGCTGCAAGCTACAATGGCAGTTGCTGCGGATTTGCTTTGCATGATTCTGTACGGGTGTTTCTGGGAGGCTGTGATTCCAGAGGTGGCCACACCGACGTCGCATTTGAGCACCAGCCGTGGCTTGCTCGTGTGGTGGGGCTCTAGACGTCGGTTTGCATTGCTTCTCAAGCTCGCACAGTGCTGCTTCACTGGGGATCTTGCTGAAACAGGTGGCCTTTCCCAACAAGTTAAGTATGAATCTTGGAGATTTTCCAGCTGCCGAAGCTCGCAAGTGTGGAAAGTCTCCAAGGCTCCACACCTTGCAAAGCGCAAAGTTCGGCCTCATCCGAACCGATGGCCAACAGAGATGACGAGGCCGACGAAGCGAGACGAGACGTGCCTCAGTTTTGGTTGTATCTGACGCAAACAGACACACACACACACACACACACACACACACACACGCACACACACGCACCCACGCACCCACGCACCCACGCACCCACGCACCCACGCACCCACGCACCCACGCACCCACGCACACACACACCCACACACACAC